TCCCGGATATCACAGAACAATTACACTAGGGTGAAGACCACGTGCTGGACTTCACGACACCACGTCAACCTTAACAGTTACTTACGTTGGGCCTGGCAACCCAACCCAAAGCAGAGTAACTGTTGGCCCTGCGCCGGAGGCTCATTATAAATACCCTCTTCCACTAGAGGGTCAGGTAACTCAACTTTCTCACTCTTCTCTCTGTACTTGTCATCACTCTGCTCGTCGCTTACTTTGGCATCAGAGTGTGTTTCAGGTACACTCCCCCTCTGTCCAGCAAGGCAACAGTTCGACAGCTCAAACGCGTGGCATCCCATCGATCTCTCTGGTCAGGTACGATCAGAGGTAAAAGGTGTTTTTCATAGTAGTGTAAGTATCATTAAACTCATAATTAGGGATGATAACAAGTAGGATTTAGGCAGAGTATTGTAGTATCCATCATCATATCTGCGATTTTAAAAAATCTCTGTATCCGAGCCCATAACCGCGTGACCACCAACGTTTATATCCGTACACGTACGTTATAGATATTTAAGTACTCATATCTATACTCGTTTACCTTCATTTCTAATAAAAAATAATTTATCAATTATAATTACCATGTCATTTTAAGTTTTTAGAAAAATTAAAAAAATATTATTGTTGAATTAAAAAAATTAAAGTATCGGTTTATACCACTTATTTTAATAAATATTAATAATTAATTATGCTGATACCAACATCAATTTTATGGATTTTTACTCTATTTTGTAGAAATTTTTATACATACTCATTAAAGATATATTGTGATCGATACTCATCACACATGGCCTAAACTTCCTATTTTCCTTACAAATTACTTTAGCTCCACTGACATCAACATGCACTGGCTTAATCTCCATTAACTCATGCATGCCTTATGCTATAATATGTCTCTTATTAATTCATTTGCCTTTTCCAAGAAAAATAATAAATAGTACAAGTGTCAACTTAATTTTTTTTTTAAACAAGTGTCAAGTAAATTAGTAACAAGTCTTACTAATAACAAATGTGAATTATTAATGTCAAAAGTCATTTAAATATGACAAGAGACAGATGATTTAATTTTTTGAATTCCATAACTTTCTTTGCATTGATTTCTATAATTTCTCTTCTTCTATTTTACAGAATATACTAATTAAATTACCATATAAACTTCTTTCTCTCTCTCTTTTTTCTTCTTTCAAGAATACTCCTCATCTCACTAATTTCCTTCCTCATAGTGTCATCACATTTTCTATACTCTTTATACAGCGTGCTCTGTTATAATACTGTTGGGAGGTAATGTCTTTGTCAAATTAAATGTATATTAATTTCATTTATTTTTGTAATATATCCAAAAGAGCATCGAAATGTAAAAATATCCATGTGCACAGTGTTTTAAAAATCGGACCGGTCATCAAACCGGTGAGGGTATTGGGTCACTGGTTTATCGGTCGAACCACTGGGTCACTGGTCGAACCGCATGACTAAACCGGATTAAACCGGATAACTCAGTTGAATAGACCTGTCATTATATAGATATAAAATCGGTCGAACCGGATGATTCAGTTTCTAAAAAAATATAACTAGTAATTAAATTTTTTAAAAATATCATATCATAAATTCACAAGTTCATAATTTAAATTCAAATTTTAAACAAATGTATCACACATAACAAAATAATACAAAATTACAAAATCTAATTGCAATATAATATAATTGAATAATTTATAACAAAATAACTCTAATGTCTACGTAAAATTATTTCAAAACAATCAAAAACAAATTTTTTTTTTAATTTTTATAACTTTTGTATTTAAATTTTAATTAAAAAATAAAAAATGCATTAGAACCGGTCCGACCCTAAACCCGGTTTTTCCCGATTTTCACCGGTTTGATGACACAGACGATCGAACTAGTAAACCAAACCGGTTAATAGGCCGGTTCCTGGTTCGACCGGTCCGACCGGCCGGTTCGGTCCGGTTTTTAAAACACTGCATGTGCATGTACTACTATATATATATATATATATATATATATATATATATATATATATATATATATATATATATATATATATATATATATATATATATATATATATATATATATATATATATATATATATATATATATATATATATATATATATATATATATATATATATATATATATATATATATATATATATATATATATATATATATATATATATATATATATATATATATATATATATATATATATATACCGCCTATTGTAAGTAGCGGTTACCAACTTAAATAGTAAGTCTTTTCTTCTTATATAAAGGAATTTCAGTTTCTATTGTAAAGACACCAAAAAATAACAAGTTTGAATTCTGTCATTAAAAATCCAACTATTTATTTCTATACCGCTTCAGTAATATATATATATATATATATATATATATATATATATATATATATATATATATATATATATATATATATATATATATATATATATATATATATATATATATATATATATATATATATATATATATATATATATATATATATATATATATATATATATATTACTGAAGCGGTATAGAAATAAATAGTTGGATTTTTAATGACAGAATTCAAACTTGTTATTTTTTGGTGTCTTTACAATAGAAACTGAAATTCCTTTATATAAGAAGAAAAGACTTACTATTTCAGCTGATAACCGCTACTTACAATAGGCGGTATATATATATATATATATATATATATATATATATATATATATATATATATATATATATATATATATATATATATATATTACTGAAGCGGTGTAAAAATAAATAGTTGGATTTCTAATGACAGATTTACAATTCGACAAATTGAAGTAATGTCTGTTGATGACGGTAGTGCATGTACAAAGAAACTATTTTTTTAAAATAATAATAATTTTTTTCCTATTTTACTCTTAAATTTTTATAATTTTATTTTTTTCTTTGTAATAAATAATTAAGAGTAGTTTTGACAAAACAATAATTAATACTATTTTAAACTTTGAAATAATACTTAAAAATAAATATTTTTTTATAAAAAAACTAACACGTAAAAAAGAGAGTGATATTAACTTAAAACAAAAATTAATTAAAAAATAATAATATTTATAATCTTTTACTTTTATAGATTAAAAAAATAGACAAACATGATAGTACATAAAAAATAGATATACAAATTAAAATGCATATTAATAAAAATATCAATTTATATTTTAAAGTTTATATATATTAAAATGGACAAAACAATACGGTAGTGTTTATTTAGACGTTACTTTTAAATATAATAAAATTATAAATATGACCGAAGTATATTGATGTGATAAGTAATAAATAATATATATGTTTTTTATAAATAGACTAATATATTAATGTGCCAATAAAATTAAATTCTATCTTAACTCTAACATGATTTTTAAATTAATCTAGTTTTATATAATATCCTATTTAAAAAGTTATGATTTAACATAAGATACAAAATAATAATAAAAAAAAAACTATATATAACAAGTCAGATTTTTGTTTAAGAAATTTGTCATCTACCACCCATTTTATAAGCATTTCTGTTCAAAGAATTAGCCGCTTTATCATAAAAGTGGAAATCAACCGTAAAAAATTACAAAGTCTAAGAAATAGGTGAAATCAATGGTAAAAAATTTCAGTTCAAATATTTATGTCACACTTTCAAAATGAATTTCTAAGAATAACTTACTTACTTTGAGAATATAGATATAGAAATTTTGTTTTCAGATATTCATTTTGAAAAATATTTGAGCCATAATTTGATACTATTTTTGAAATAATTGGTGCTTATTCTTCTTTGAAAATAATTTTCTAAAACTCTATACAAATATATATTCTCATTTTCTCACATATTAATTACTTTACAAAAAATTATTTTTTCAACTTTATACCAAATAATTATGTATATTTGGAAAAGTAATTCTTAAATTTGAGCATTAAAAAAATACACTATATTATAAAAAAAATGTTTATAGAAATTAAATATATTCAAATCAATTTCAAAATTTCATAACTTTTCAAAAGTGAAGCGAAACAATTAGAATTTGTTTGACTTAACTTTATAGAAAATTGCCATCTTTTTAAAACATAGAAATTAAAGTAAACAAAATTCAGAAAAATTCTTGTATTAAAAATGATTGTTTAATGAAAACGAGAATTAAGAAAATACTTTTTACAGAAGTGATAAATTTACTTTTTACAAATTATGCAAAACTTATTTTCTATGCTTTACTTTTTTGAAATTAACCGACAACAAATTTAATTTTTATGACTTTTTTTCTCTATTACAATTTACTCTTCATTTTTTTTTATTTCTATCATTTTCTTTTTATTAAATATATTAACAATTGTTGTTACATAAACAGTTAATTTTTTTTAGTGAGAAAACCAACACTTTATATTGAACTAATAATGATTTATTCATCAACTCTTTTAATACTCCTATAATGTATATCCATATTAAATAGTATACTTAATCATCAAATTAAATTAATTTTTTTAAAATTATTTATATATTGAATCAATAATTATTAATTATTTTCCAACTCTTTTAATATAATGTACATCCACATTAAATAATCTTTTTTTTAATTTAATCTTATTTCAAACTCAAAAGAGCCGATTAAACACACTTTTAATGTGATTCTTAAATCTTTGATAAAAAAAAAAAAGTAATTTTCAAAATAATAAGAATTGGCAATTTGTTTATACTCATGTCATGCTACAACAAGTTGACATAAAAAAATACGGTAACTTAATTTAATACTCCTAGTATTGTAGTAGTATTTAAAGGTTGCCAACATTTCTATTTCCACTCAAAAACGCACCGCACTCACTTCCTCACTCTTAAAATCACCCTCATCCCTTTCTTCTTCAGATCTCTCTCTCTTTTATGTTCTTCTCTTTTTCAACAATTCTCTATTTTCATCACTACCGTTAATTATTTATTTCTCAATGGCCTCTCACAATCACCACCGTTCAATCCCTGACATCAACGGCTCTCACCCCACTCCCAAAAAACCTAAACTATCTTCACCTTCTTCCTCCGCCATAACCGTTTCCGAGATTGAATCCGAATTCTCTCACCATGACGCTGCCGTTGCTCGCATCAACAACGGCAGTTTCGGTTCCTGTCCGTCCTCCGTCATCTCCGCTCAACAGAAATGGCAACTCAAATACCTCCGTCAGCCTGACCACTTCTACTTCAACCATCTCAAACCGGCAATCGACAATTCACGTTCGATTATCAAAGGCCTAGTCAACGCGGAGCATCTTGATGAAATCTCTATTGTTGATAACGCTACCACCGCTGCTGCTATTGTTCTTCAACACACTGCCTGGTGTTTCCGTGAAGGAAAGTTCGACAAAGGTGACATTGTCGTTATGCTTCATTATGCTTATGGTTCTGTTAAGAAATCTATGGAGGCTTATGTCACTCGTGCTGGTGGAAAAGTGATTGAAGTTCCTCTTCCTTTTCCGGTGAGTTCTAATGAAGAGATTGTTAGTGAGTTTAGAAAGGCTTTGGAGATAGGAAAAACTGATGGTAAAAAGGTTAGGTTAGCTGTGATTGATCATGTGACTTCTATGCCTTGTGTTGTCATTCCTGTTAAGGAGTTGATTCAAATTTGTAGAGAGGAAGGTGTTGAACAGGTTTTTGTTGATGCTGCTCATTCTATTGGGTGTACTGATGTTGACATGCAGGAGATTGGTGCTGATTATTACACTAGTAATTTGCATAAGTGGTTTTTTTGTCCACCTTCGGTTGCGTTTTTGTACTCGAGAAAAAATACTAAAACTGCTGCTGGTGGTGGTGGTTTGCATCATCCTGTGGTGTCTCATGAGTACGGAAATGGGTTGGCTGTGGAAAGTGCTTGGATTGGGACAAGGGATTATAGTTCTCAACTGGTGGTTCCTGATGTTTTGGAATTTGTGAATAGGTTTGAAGGTGGTATTGAAGGGATTAAGAAGAGGAATCATGAAGCTGTTGTTGAGATGGGAGAGATGCTGGTTAAGGCTTGGGGAACTCATCTTGGGAGTCCTCCACATATGTGTGCTAGTATGATTATGGTTGGTCTGCCTACTTGTTTGGGGATTCATAGTGATTCTGATGCTCTGAAGTTAAGGACACATCTCAGGGATGTTTTTGGAGTTGAAGTTCCTATCTACTATAGACCACCTAGAGATGGAGAAGTGGAGCCTGTAACGGGGTATGCTCGGATCTCTCATCATGTTTACAATAAAGTAGAGGATTATTACAAGTTTAGGGATGCTGTTAACCAACTTGTGGGAAATGGGTTTGCTTGTACTTTTCTTTCCAACTGAAGAGGTTTGCTCACATTCCCTTTTAACTAAAGTTTAAGTTTGTAATAATAAGTGTGTGATGATAGGAATTTAGTTTAGCATTAAGAACCTCTCTATGTATCGTTATATTATATGAGTAAGCTATGCATTAAGAACCTCTCTATGTATCGTTATATTATATGAATAAGTTATGCATTAAGAACCTCTCTATGTATCGTTATATTATATGAATAAGTTATGCATTAAGAACCTCTCTAAAGTTTAGTTTGGTCATTGAAATAAAGAACCTCTATGTATCGTTATATTATATGAATAAGTTTGTTACTATATTTTTGCCGTCTATAGAGGATATAAAGACATATTTTCAACATTAGTGATATTAATTAGGTCTTTATACAACAATATCGTAATAATATTGAGATGTAAGTTTCTTTTAAGAAATTGATAGAATCTTCGCTATGGTGATTATGTCTTAATTTGGCACCACACCCCCTTAAAATGTTCATACGCGTGCAAGGGTTATAGTTTGGCTGATGATCACTGAGTGCCATTTTCCTTGCAAACTTATAACTTGTTGTTCTGTCATATGCATAGCGGTTTGACGGTTTCTTATCACATGCATTGCGGTTTCTAGTGTAAAATACTTGTCAGGAATATTAAATGATTTAAATTTGAGTTTTATAACTTATATTAATTACTTGCTTTGGTGTTGTTAAATTTTGATTACGATGTTTGTTGTGACCCTCTCATCGTGTCGTTTTGTGTCGTTTTCAATGCAAACGACAACTCATTGTTGTTCTATACATGTCTATTAAAACCAGAAACCAATACATGTCAGAAATATTAAATGATTTAAGTTTGAATCTTATAAGTTGTATTAATTACTTGCCTTTGGTGTTGTTAAATTTTGATTACGATGTTTGTCGCGACACTCTGATCGTGTCGTTTTGTTCTTCTCCTGGCTGGTGATCACTTAGCATCGTTTTCTATGCAAACCGACAACTTATTCTCGTTCTATGCATGTCTATTAAAACCAGAAACCAGTACATGTCAGAAATATTAAATGATTTAAATTTGAATCTTATAAGTTGTATTAATTACTTGCCTTTGGTGTTGCTAAATTTTGATTATGATGTTTCTCGTGACCCTCTAATCGTGTCGTTTTGTTGTTCTCCGTTGGCGATCACTTAGCGTCATTTTCTATGCAAACCGACAACTTATCGTTCTTCTATGCATGTCTATTAAAACCAGAAACCAAGACATGTCAGAAATATTAAATGATTTAAATTTGAATCATATAAGTTGTATTAATTGCTTGCCTTTGGTGTTGTTAAATTTTAATTACGATGTTTTTCGTGACCCTCAGGTCGTGTCATTTTGTTGTTCTCCTGGCTGGTCATCATTTATCGTCGTTTTCTATACAAACTGACAACTTATTGTCGTTCTATGTATGTCTGTTAAAACCAGAAACCAATACATGTCAGAAATATTAAATGATTTAAATTTGAATCTTATAAGTTGTATTAATTACGGGCTTTGGTGTTGTTAAATTTTGAATACAATGTTTCTCGCGACCCTCTAATCGCGTCGTTTTGTTGTTCTCCTTTGCTGAACTTTTAGCGTCGTTTTCTTTGCAAACCGATAACTTATTGTTCTTCTTTGCATGTCTATTAAAACCAGAAACCAGGACATGTCAGAAATATTCAGTGATTTAAATTTGAATCATATAAGTTGTATTAATTGCTTGCCTTTGGTGTTGTTAAATTTTGATTATGATGTTTGTCGTGACCCTCTGATCGTGTCGTTTTGTTGTTCTCCTGGCTGGTGATCTTTTAGAGTCGTTTTCTATGCTAACCGAAAATTTATTCTTGTTCTATACCTGTCTATTAAAACCAGAAACCAATACATGTCAGAAATATTAAATGATTTAAATTTGAATCTTATAAGTTGTATTAATTGCTTGCCTTTGGTGTTGTTAAATTTTGATTACGATGTTTGTCGTGACCCTCTGATCGTGTCGTTTTGTTGTTTTGTTGTTCTCCTGGCTGGTGATCATTTAGCATCGGTTTCTATGCAAACCGACAACTTATTGTCGTTCATGCATGTCTATTAAAACCAGAAACCAATGCATGTTAGAAATATTAAATGATTTAAATTTGAATCTTATAAGTTATATTAGTTACTTGCCATTGGTGTTGTTAAATTTTGATCACGATGTTTGTCGTGACCCTCTGATCGTTTCATTTTGTGTTCTCCTGGCTGGTGATCATGTAGCATTATTTTCTATAAAAACCGACAACTTATTGTCGTTCTATGCATGTCTGCTGAAACCAATACATGTCAGAAATATTAAACTGATTTAAATTTGAATTTTATAAGTTGTATTAGTTACATGCCTTTGGTGTTGTTAAATTTTGATTAAGATGTTTGTCGCGAACCCGTGATCACGTCATTGTGTTGTTCTTCTCCCCAGTGATCACTTAACGTTGTTTTATTTTCAAACTGATAGCTTATTGTTGTTCTATGCATTTTTATTGAAACAGATACATGCACAAATTACTTGTCAAGAATATTTAATGATTCAAATTTGAATTTGTCAGTGCTATTAATCAGTGTTATCAAATAGCGGCGTCATGGTCACTATGGCAGATATACATGACGGAGTTTGGGCTCCCGCAATGGTAAATACTGGTGGATATTGCTAGTTTTTCTGCCATAATCGGATATAATGGCGCCGCGAAGTGGACACTATGCGTGATTTTGGCTCTTCGCCATCCGCCATCGACAACACTGCTATTAATTACACTCCTTTACTGTTTGTTGAGTCTTGATTATGATGTTTATTGTGAATCTGCGATCATGTCATTTTATTGCTCTTACCTAGCACTGTTTTCTTTTCAATCTGATCTATGCATTTCTGTTGAAATAAATACTTGTCAGGAATATTTATTATGATTATGATGTTTGTCGTGAATCAGTCTGTGATCATATGTTGTTTTGTTTTTCTGCTGGCTGTTGATCTCTTGGGTCGCTTTCTTTGCAAATTTATCATTTCCTTCATAAACAAAACTATCATTAAAAGTAGATAATCCGTTCCTATATTTTGAACCATGGGATAGATCAAATGAATGTTTCTTTACTAGTAAATTTTGGTTCGGTTTTGTTTATTCTTCTAGTTATGTTATATTTGTTTTCACTCTTAACTGAACAATATTCTTTTTATTTGCAGTTGAGAAGTGTCTTTGTCGTCTTTCTGATGAATAAAAGCAATGGTTGTTGTAATTGTTGCTAGCATGCTTGCAATCTTGCTAGTTGCGATGGTTTTGGTACCATGAACCGCATGTTTTGCAGTTAAACTTCAGCAATTACCCATGTTACCTTTGCTGAGTAAAATCCCTTAGGGAGTGAGCAACTTCAATAGTGAGATCTATGGATTTATCCTTGTAAATATAATTGTGATTCTCTCATGATGTAATGATATTCACTGTCATTGTGCCATGTTGCCAACTGCTTCTTCAGGTTTATAACAAAGTTCTACCATAAATTTGAAGTTTGCCATTTCTATGCTTTATTGTTTGATAATCATAATTAATTTTAATTATCAAAACAACTTTTATGATTTTTTTATAAAGTAAAAGGAAATCTGTATTTTTGGTAATCTCCTAATGTAACCAAAAACAGCCAAATAACTGTTTTTATTGAATTTGTTTATGAATGGTTGTATTTTTTAAGACAGTTTAATGGTTGAAATTATGATCATATCTACTTGTATCAGTTAAGAGCTGTGTTGTTCCGACATAGATTTGTGACCCCACATAAAATGTGTCTGTTTGCTCATTCTGAAGATAGATAAAAATCTATAATATGAAAACAACATTTTACCTACATTTGTTGTAGACAAAATTGCAATATTAATTTTCTTTTTTCACTACTGCTATTAATTGTTTCTTATTTATTTTATCTATTTTTCATTATGATGAATAATTAAGGAAAACTTTTAAAATGATAAATAATTAGAAACATAAAATTTTAGTAACTCTTAAAAGTGTAGTAAAAAAGTAAATGAATATAAGTATATTTCTTTAAGATAAGGTAAATTTCATGATAAACTGAATTTTGTAAGTTGTTTTAATTATATTTCTTTAAGATAAGGTAAATTTGATTTACTATTATGATCATTTACAACACATGTATTCAAATTTATCATCATAGTTAAATTGTAATTAGGATTCTCACAATTAAACTATGATTAAATAGAGTCACAATTAAATCATGACTGAATAGAATTTTAATTAAATATAATTTTATAAGCTTGTTAAATTTTGCATAAATAGTCTTTGTAATGGTAAACCTTTAATCAAAATAAAGGTGGGTGGTACAACATTCATATTTATATATTAATAATTAAAAAAAAAACAATGTTTGATAAAAATATGTAATTAAGATTGAAGGATTTAATTTTAACTAAATTGTTTTAATCATTTTGGGTTATTTTCTTGATTATTCAAAATTTAGCTTATATTTTTATAATCTCAGTAGTGTACTCAAAATTTATCTTAGTAGTAGTATATTTTATAAGTAAATCGTTGAATTTAAATGAAGAGAGTACTAAAAAAAATTGTAGACAAATGAATTTTTTTTTGAATAATAAAGTGAAGGGAATTTAAATTTAATTTTTTTAAACTATAAAATCAAACTCTTTCATAAAATCACAAAATAGGTCTATAAGGAACTAGACATTATTTTATTCTTGTAAGATGTTTGGTATTTGATAGATAAGAAATATTATAGAGGAGAGAATTTTGTAGAGAATATGAGCAGTTTGCTTTACCTTTAAAATTAGATATTTTTGTTTATATTTTTAAAAATAAAATTTATAAATTATTGTGAAAATATTAAAAGTATTTTTTAATTTGTTTTTCTATAAATATAAATATTAATTTTGACATTCAATAACATAATATAAATTATTGATAATCAAAGCATATTCAAAATCGTAGTTTAAAAAAAAATTATATCTC